AGCAAAACCTTCAGTAAATATATGGACAATTTATTATTGAGTTCAGAAGATGATGCATGTCCTACACTGCGAATGCACATATCAGGCTGCCCAGATTCAGTTGGGTCAGTAATTCCTCCAGTACGACTGGAGAAGCCTTCAACTCTGGTCATTGTCACGGGCATCCTCACCAGTCCTTTTTCCCTGGGTTCATCCCTCCACTGGTATCCCGCCAACTATGCCAATTGTTGTCTTTAATCTGTGTATCAATGCTTAATTTAGAATTTGAAGGATGGATACCAAAGAATGAGAACACTAAGGGAGACATCAGGATGGTAATAAGTCTTGAAAAAGGTTTGTTAAGAATTGCCCCTGAATATACTTACAGCATCAGAAGAATATGACTCCAAACAGCTGGGTTGAGCCCAAGTGGCAGGGAAGGTTTCATGAGGAAGCTGGAAAAAAGGGGTAAATCTTATAACCCTTTCCCCCCCCTCCCCTGCCCATTGGAATTCTCACCTTGGTTCTGGGATAATTTGCAAGGGGAAATTAATGTTTGTATTACATTTGTTGCAGAGGAAGAGACTACGAGAGAGTAAGAAGGCATACAATATGGAATACACATAGAAAGGAATGCCTTAGTGACTGCTGTTTGCTTAGAGTGCTAGCTGCCAGCCGGAAGCCACTTAGGAGGCAGAAGAAAGCCTTTAGGGTGGAACTGATTAGGATCTTGCCAATTTCAGATAGCAGCAGGCCAGCCTGAGGGTGCTAATTCAATTGTGGTTAGCAGCTTTTAGGGTTAGGGTAGAAAACAGTTTGGGAAGAGCTAGCTTGTTTAAGCAATCTCTCTGCTCTGCCAGGGGTGGGGGAGGGAATTCTTTGAAGGGGGGAAGAAGGAAATGGGTCAGATGGTCAAGCACAGGACATAAGTCTAAGTCATGTTTTACCTAAGCCACTGAGATCTGGTTTATACACTCTGTTAACCATAAACCATGGTTTACAAACTTCAGTGGCTGTGAACACACAATATGCTAAGCCAAAAGCAAACAAAATATATTTGGCGTGATGTGTGCACCAAAATCTCAGATGTTCTTTTTTCACTTAAAGTATTGGCATTGCCAAAACTGGAAGGAAAAATAAAGAAAAAAACAAAGCCTGATTTGATTTATAGGAGGAGGTGGAGGAGGAAGAGGTTGTGGTGGTGCATCTTTTGAGATTGCTGAACCAGCTATGAACTTACTGCAGCCATCAAATAAACCAACACTGGCTAAAGTAGCTTGAATGCTGACTGTGCAGCCCAGATACAGGTATTTTAGCCACTGCTTGAATACAGTGCAAATATTATGGGCCTGGATGCTCCTTGAGGAAGACTTCAGAAAGTAGTAAACCAGAGGCTTGTAAACAGGGAGAAGAATCTGTATGCAATATCTGCTTGGAATAGGCTATGATAATACAATTTCTTCAGTCCAGCTCCCTTCTGTGTGCAGCATTTTATGCAATCCAGACTTACAGGTTGTGTGCAATGTACATGATGGGGAAAGAATAGGCAATTGATAATACCTATATGCATTTAATTTTTAAATTTTTCTTTGTTATTAATTGGAAATTAATAGAAATCCTTTTAATTCTTTCTATACAGACCCTACACAAAGTTATGATAGAGCTATGATATTGATCATCAGACTAATATCTTCTTCCCCTTCATTACCTTGTAGTAGTGAAAGGACTACATATCCCTACATTCTCTGAATGGTAATCCATGATGAGCACTAACTATGATCTACTGGAGAAGGAAAGGAAATGTCTGCTGATGTGCTCAGAAGCAAAAGGAAAGTTTGATGCTGCAATGATATGGATACCATTGATATGTGGAATGTCAGAACCATAAACCAAAGTAAACTTGATGTCAGAGCAGAAATGTCAAGATTGAAAATTGACATTCTGGGAATCAATGAACTAAAATGATTGGAATGGGTCACTTCACAACAGAGGAATATCACCTTCTACTGTGGACAAGAAATCTTAGAAAAAATGGAAAAGCTAGTTACTAAGAAAAAGTGTCAAAGTCAGTGCTCAAATTATAACCCCCCAAATGACAGAAGCATCACAATTCAAGTCAAAAGCAAGCCAATCAATAGTCTATGCTTCAACCACAGATGCAGAGGAAGAGGGAACTGAACAACTTGTTGACATAACACACCCACAACCACACACCACAAAGATTATGCACTAATTTTAGGAGATTGGCTTGGTAAAATTGGAGGTGAAATAGCATCTGGAATAATAGGAAAATTTAGCCTTTGCATTGGAAACAAAGCAAAAGGCAAACTAATAAGAATTCTGCCAAGAAAATTCAATGTTTTAGCAAATGCCTTCTTCCAACAACCTAAAAGTTGGACATCATTCACTGGGCAAATAGAAAGGCTGAAAAACTTTGGACTACAATTCATGACTTCATTACCAAAGAAACAAATAAAAGTATTCTGAAATTTTAAAAAAGGAAAAAGAAAATGGCGGTTTTTTAATGTGTAGAGAAGATCTGAAGAATGGTAAAAGGACATTATGATCAGGCACAGCACAGAACTTCTGCTTGGGCAAACTCAGCTTCACATGATTAAAAGAGGTAATCAAGAAGTGGGGTGCCTTAGCGTGGGTCCAACTAAAATGGATATTAGCACTTCATAAGCAACATCCAAGAATCTTTGCAACAGCTCTGGTTGTTAAGATAGCTGAGTCTTCCCTGGCCTGGGGCCTCCATATATGTTTGACTACAGCATCCATCATCTCACTCAGGGTAGTCATAATTTCCATCTAGCATATCATCTTTACTACTAACATGATGAAGTATTGTGGAACTGGTTGTTGCCTAATTTAGATAACATTCCCTTGAACAAGGCTACAATCCATACATTCAAAGACTCAAGAAGGAATTTAGGTAGACATCTCTTGTATGAACCATGAGAGATAAATAGTTTAAGTAATGATCAATGAGTATTTGCAGTTTGTGTCAAAACAGCTTGGAAATAAAACAAAGTTACTTTTGGGAAAAAAAAAGAGAGAGAGATCAGCAACTCAGGCATATTTTCAAGCCAACCCAAATTTGAGAATAGCCTATTGCCATCCAGTAAGCTCTCAAGTCTGGTATCTACCAGACTTGAGAGCTT